TAAAAAATATCATAAGCCAATGCTTTTTAGATTAATCTTAATCACATGTAAAAATACTGTTGCAAATTCCAAGATTTCAAAGATTGTACATTTCTAAATCTAAGTACACACAAACACATTTAGATGCAATTTAGTGTGAAGTGCTTTAGTGTAAATGCATGAAATGAACATTTCTTCTTCTCCTCACAGTTTCCAGTGAAGTGGAAAGTGCAGCAGTCAAGGACCACTCAAAACCACCCGATCACAAAGGTGAGGTTTTTTGACCAGTTTCACAAACTTCCTTTCTACCTGACCTTCACTTTCTGACCTCTGACTTTTAGGTGCAGCACGGCAGGTTTTCATGCCCGAATCGGATGCATCCAGCTTCATCAAACGCCGCAGTCGCCGCTCAACCCGGTACTACGAGATCCAAAGTAAGCTATCTATTTAAAAACTGTTATCGCCAGGAAAAAATACTTTGTGCTGTCTGACACCTTATTGGCAGAAAGCCATAAGGATCATGGGTAAAGAGGTTGGTCTGAATATGTTTATTTATAATTTTGAATGTATTTATATATTGTGGTATGTGTGGCTGATGTGGCCACACACAATTATATGGCATGTTTGGCCTTCCATACCGAAGACAGTATATGTGTTTATGTGATAAAAAAAGAGTATGGTATAGTAATATAGAGTAGTACAAGGTACCACACACACACACACACACACACACACACACACACACACACACACACACACACACACACACACACACACACACCAGGCTGCAGAAGGAGTCACAGGGCAGTATGGAGCGAGCTCTCCCTCTCTCAGTTTCTCAATACAATAAGCTCATTCTTCCACTGCCAGCATCAGTACGATAGACCATTATACTTCAAACCAAATGAACAAATACACAGAATATATCAAATGTTTCTGGAGAGGAACTGACTTTCATACTCTTTCACCTAAATAACATTTAAAACAATCACTCTTTAGCCAGATAACGCCTGCAGAAGTCCAGATCTCTTCAGTCTGTGCTTGTTATTTCTTCTTGGAGCAGGCTTCTAGAGACATTTTTGGCTCAGCTCTTATTTCTTTCCCTTTTCCTTTCCACAGTCGAGCAGAGGGTAAAGATTGCTGCAAGTGAGCAGAGAAGGGAGTACAACGAGGAGCAAAGGACTGAGCAAGAGCACTACGTGGAGGAGGTGCGTGATGGTGAGACCTGGACCTACAACTACTATCCGTTTAATGCTTTCCTCTTGAATATGAGGGAACAGACATAATGCTTTAATGACAAAAAAAACTTTAATTAATTCCAACTTCTTGAAATAATGAAGAAAAAACAGTATGTTCACCCTTTTCACAGAGGACTACAAACATTTAACATTACCATCAATCAATCAATCAATTGATTAATTGTATTTATGTAGTCCAGAATCACAAATTACATCTTTGTCTCAGGGGGCTTTAGAATCTCTACAGCACACAACACCCTTTGTCTTTAGATCTAGATAAAAAAAAACAAAATAAAAAAACAAGATAAAACTCCCCAACGAAACCAACAATCAACCAGGGAATATGAAAGAAACCGCAGGGAGAGCGACAGAGGACGGTGTTCCATCACTGGAGAAACATGAAGCATGGACTTCATGTCAGTAAACACAAGATTTACGTGCCAGTCGCCACAGGAGGGTTCACAAAATAACACATGGAGGGAAGCGAGTGTGAGGACCTCAGAGACACCAAAGTGCTCATTTGTGGTCCAGCCTAAGCCGACAGTGTTCCTGCAGTCTGCTGTGATAAAGATGCAGCGACAGCTTCTAAACTTAGACTTGCTAACCACAAAGATGTGTGTTTGTTTCTGAGATACATTGTTTTGGGTCAAAGAGATGTTATAAGAAAACAAAAATATCTCCACATGGCCATGGAGCACTTATTGGTCACATTATAAGAGCACATTCTCGCAAAACTTTTATATAGAACAAATCTGGATTGTTGGCTCTTTGTGCTGCTTTTCTTTCAATATCAGGGGAATATTTCTCATTGATTATTGATGTGTTCAATGCACTAATTTAGTACTAGTGTTAGAGTGTAGAACCCTGCTTAACCCTTGTGTTGTGTTCGAAAGCTGTTACCGTTCATGGTGTTCGCGGCTCAATCCTGTTGTAATTTTATTTTATTGCCCCAAAACACAGCAGAGGGATGGCAGACCAGGTGCATGTTGCGAAAAAATTATTGTTACAGTGGATGAAGGGGGTGGGCGTGTCTAAAGTCCAAGATGAATCTTGATTGGGCCAAATTTGACCCAGAGTCACCCACAACAATTCTGCTGGGTCTTCCCAAAGCCGAACACCAACTTATACACTTATTTTTTTCGAGAACTTCAGACTTGGCTAAAATTGTCAAAATCAGTTTTGTAGTGTTTATATAGCTGTTGTGGAGGATATCATGAAGCCTTGTTCCGATAAAAAAAACTAGAGCGTAGTTAATTTTAACTTGAAACGGGTCACAGGAGACCCGAACACAACATAAGGGTTAAATGATTATGTAAATGTGTGTGTGGTCTGCGTAGTTCTGGTAACTTATTTTGTTGCTTTCTGCAATTGGAGAAAGGGCAAGCATGAAGATGTAAAATAGAAGAGGCCCATAATGGAGCCTTGGGGAACTCCACAATATGGGCAATTACCTGTAGAAAACCTAGTTTGCTATAGGTATGATTCAAAGTCTGCTTTTATCTAACGATGCTTGATTATAACATTTCGCCATATGGTTGAGGAGTGATTACCTATAAGGAAGCCTAGTCATAAAACCGACTTCAACGATATTGAATCTCATGTAGCAGATCTGTATTCCACTGAGATTTTTGTCCTTAAAAAGCTGCCTGCTGTCGCTGTAGATACTGATGAGGGTGGTGAGAGTGAACAAATCAGTAAAGTAGTTGGCTAAAAAAACAAAACAAATAGCTCACAGACGTTACAAAGCTCCTAAGAGTAGAACTGCAAAGTCTGCTGATAATTCTCACTACGATCAAACCCTGTCATATATACAAATATTGATATTGAGACACTTCTACTTTTGTATCCACAGAGCAAAATGAGAGAACGAGGGAGACCAATGAGCAGTATCGAGAGTATCACTACGACGGCTTATCTCCTCAGTACTACTGGTTCCACTGAGAGCGCTCATACTGGCTTCACCTGTACTACAGTATACTGCTGTCCTTTGTACCAGAGTATACTGCTAATACTGTCTTCACCTATACCGCCGTCCCATGTACCAGAGTATACTGCTAAAACTGTCATTGCCTCTACCTCAGTATACTACTATTGCCATCAACTGTACCAGAGTATACTGCTAGTATTGTCTCTACTGCAATCAAAATTACAAGAGTATACTGTTAATACTGCGATCAAGTGTACCAGAGTGTACTGAAAGTACTGCTTATACTGCCATCATCTGTAGGCAGAGTATATTAATAATACTGCCATCACCTGTACCAGAGTAAACTACCAAAGTTGTGTCTGTTTTCCTACTTTCATCAACAAGATAAATAATTTCTTTACTTCTTATTTGTAACAAAATTGTTCAATATGTATCTCCATGAAAACTGTTAAATATATAATGAGCACAGTTTTTGTATTAAAGGCCACACTTTATCATATTAAATGTAGTCTCTATGCTGTGTATGCTTGTATTTACTGCATCTTGTTTTACATTTAAGCAACACAATGCCCTGTCTTTATTTTTAGTCGGTTGCAGAAGCAGCAACAAAACAAACTCTTACTTTAAGCAAGAGAGTCAAAATGAGAAGTAAAGATGAGTTTCCTGATTCCAGGCCACTGATGTGTTTTTACTTAGCTTAGCACTGTCTGGTATGTGGAGTATTTAAAGGGAGGGAGGCGGTGTGGAGTAAAGGAAAAGATGAGGAGAGCTGCAGAAATCATCAGGCTGATTCCAAATTTCAGAGTGGAAATATGAAAGTGAGCCAAGTCAGAGGAGGAAAAGGAGGGAAAAAAACAGGAGCGATCGGATAATAAACGTAAAATAAACCATGTGTCATGGCCCTCTGTGTTTACTATTCACAAAGCTTCCAGTAATGACATAACTCCTTACTGATAGAATTAAGAATTACTTTCGTTTTAAAGCAACCTGCATCTCATTATTCTTCCTACATTTCTCAGGTAAGCTTTCAACACTGGATGCAGGAGAGGATTGTAAATGCTGCATTTAGGTTTGCTGTATGGGGCTTGTAGAGGTCTTTGATACAACGCATCCCTTCACCTAAACACAACCAGTGATACAAGTGCTTTCCATTACGTGGGTGTATACCTTATGACAGTAATGCATTGTGTGATTTCTTAAATTTGAATGACTCTACAGCAAGAGGACCTGAAAGAAAAAGCTGTTGATTTAGATTGCTGAAAGTGTTTCCTCAGACAGCAGCTCGAAACATGAGAAGAAACTATCATCACCTGCAGATGATCTTACAGTTCACAGCTGTTACCCAAATCATTACAGAAGGCTCAGTGAGCCAGCATGAACAACATGAGGAAGCAGCTCAATTCAATTCTGCTATCCTTCATGCTATTCAGTCACAAAATGTAGAAATGGCTTCATCGTACTATGAAAAGGGGCCCCATTAGGCTTTTTGGGTCTTTCCCTGCAGGTCTCAATAAAAAAACTTGCGCTTCTGTTGGGTAGCGCTTTAACATATTGTACATAATAGGCTAAGGGTCAGGACATTACTTGGCGGTTGACCAATCACAACAGAGTTTGACAGCTAATCAGTCAGAGCAGACTGGGCTCTGGTTTCAGAGGGTGAAAAGTGGTGCTGCAGAAAAATGAAGACCTTTTTGAACATTAAAGCATTTAAACATGTCCCAGCAGAGGCACACAATACAAATATGAATCTGAACATTAGCAGACGTCCTCTTTAAATATGATATGGTTTCATACTTCCAGATCTGCACCCGAACCAATTACTACAGTATTCTATCTCATGAGAAGAAAAACAAGCATTTCACGTGACATGTTGCAAAGCTTTAATCGACTTATTTGACATTCAAATCTTCGTCAAGATCAAAATAAAATGTTAAAACATAATTCACACAAATACAAATATGATACTTAAATTAAAAAGCAATATCCTGCTGCTGTCAATTGCTGTTGAGGAACATTCCGTGCTCCTCTCCTCGAGGCTTGAGAAGCTCTCCGGCGATCTTCGGTCCCTTTTTCTCCTGCAAGAAAACATGACCAGAACATCAGTGTGTTTTCTTTCACACAATACGAGACAATGTGAGAGTCAGAAAGAGGTTTACCTTCAGCATCCCATCACGCTCCCATTTAAACAGGCCGCAGTTACTGAAATGTTGAAACAGAGTTAGTTCTAGTGTTCATTTTGTTTCAGTGAAAGACATGACGTTGAGATTTGTACCTGCAGTGTTGGTTTGGCAGTCTGTCCAGAGCGATGGCTCTCTGTCCACAGGAACATTTGAAGAACCGCTTGGTGGCATCGTGCCAACGCAGATCGTGGTTCTCCTCTACACAACGATCCGCTGGTTTGAAGTAGGTGTACTTACACTGGAAGCGAGGGAACATGGGAAGTAAATAACAGCTTCATTTCCACCATGCTTGCGTTTATGGTTAGTACACCAAGGCAGCAACATTACATATATACGTGTTTATACATGTTTGAAGCAAATAGGTTGAAAGCCAGTACCTTTCTACAGGTAACTGCGCGACACTTCATCTCTCTGATGCCCTTCATCTTCTCCTCCATCTGCTCCTTCTTCACCAGAGGATCAAAGTAGCTCTCCTGCATCTGGTACTCCGCCTGAGAGGACACATTTAACTTTTTAATGTTTTATATGCAGAAATGCAGCTGGATTTGCAGAAAATACCTCAAAAAGAAAAGGATCAAAACAGACAAAACACTCATCACATGATATAACACGTACCGCCTGCAGCGCAGCATCATGGCGAGATTTGGCGTTGAGGATCTTTTGGAATTCGTCTGACTGGATGTACTGGAGCTGATCTCGCTTCTTTTTCTCAGCCGGTTCCTCTTCCTCATCAGCTGCACAGTAAGAACAAGCACAATTATAGACTTTATTGTTAAAAAAAAAAAATGTCATTCCATTTGGCTGAATACAGGATGCTGATTGGTCCAAGTGTTATTTCTATATAGCAGATCGCTGTTAAAGACACAGGTACACTCAAATCAATAAAAAAAAATGTCAGCTTGCAGCTCATGGAACACTTTCTCATACCGAGGGGAATCTATCAATCATTATCAAATCAGATAAATAATTTGTAATAAATATTTTGTGTCAAATGATTGCTTTACTCAGCATGTAGCCGTATTAAAAGCTGGATCATGTGCACAATATGTGTAACAGAGACGTACGGTGGCTGTGTACCTTCGGCTGAGGTCTGGTTCTTCTCCAGTCTGGCGTTGATCTCGCTGCTGTTGCTCCTCTTCCTCTTCACAGCGTTAGGGTCTTCCTTGTTAAGCCCCGCCCCTTTGGCTTTCAGCTTCCTCAGAGCAGCCATCTTGGCGGCTGATAGGCTGAGAGCGCTGGGGGCGGGAGCCGGGGGCGTGGGCTGCCGTCAAAGAAGAGGATGTCCTCCCCCTCGGAGAAGCCTCGGCCCAGGGTCGGGGCCTGGGGAGTGGCGGGGGTCCGGGGGGCCACAGAGGCTGCTTTGGGGGACATCAGTGAGGAGCCTCGGCCCAGGGTCGGGGCCTGGGGAGTGGCGGGGGTCCGGGGGGCCACAGAGGCTGCTTTGGGGGACGTCAGTGAGGAGGAAGAGGAGGAGGGCCCGGGGGCCAATGAGCTCTGCACCTTCTTCTGGATCTGATCGGCCCTCCGCAGGCGGCTCTGCAGAAACTCCCGCTGCTTCGCTTTCTGCTCCTTCAGCAGGGAGGAGGCTGTGATGGACTGAAGCTGAGGTGAAGATCCGTTTTTGGGGACTGAAGATAGACCACACGGTTAAAAAATTGAGCAATTTATTATTAACATTATTAATATTGACAACTTTTTAAATAAACATCGTTAAGAGATTCAAATCCGCATCTTGTGTTTGTATGATTTAGTGCTCAGATTAAAGATGGTAGGCCTATATCTAAACGATTTGGTGTAGTTTGTCATCTCAGAGAAACATATATGATTTATTATAGTTCTTTATAGTAAATTCAAATAAGTTGAGGTCTGAAATGGTTGTTAAAAATGGAGGGCGACCTTCAATAGCCAATTTATTTTGGGTAAACATTCAGACATTTTGAGGTTTTCATAAGGCACATGTACCTGATTGGTTGCCTTTTACCAAGTGCTTCTTCAGCTGCAGAGCTCCGGGTGTCGGCGTTGACAGCAGGCTCTTAAATTCAGTTGAACATCCTGAAACTTCCCCGGACTGAAGGGCTAAATAAATCAAAGACAGGAAGATATTATAAACAGCCATAAGTTCAGCGTTCTCTGCTCTCGGTCATTGTCAAGATAATAACTAAAGCTTGTGCAAAGATGGCTCATTGGAGGCGGTAAACCTCAAGTCAGAGAGAGAAGTGTATGGCAGGGATTTAAATAGAGGCTAGTGCAGTGTGGGAGTCTCACCCAGCCTCTTGGCCTGATGGAGCTGCTTAGCCGAGCCTTTCACAAACAGATTGTCCAGAGTCTTCTGGGTCCCCTTGGTGCCTTTGTTCCCCGATCTGCAACACAAAGACCAGTTAAAGAATGTCAAAAGAACTGTTTTCCTGGCTTTGGAATATTCTTGCCAAGTGCAAAATGAAGTTGTTGTAGAAAACCGGGTGGTAATGGCCAAATATACAAAGTATTATCACTCACAAAGAGGCGGTGCAGGCGGAGGAGGACACCCCGCCGTAGTAGAAGCCGTCCTGACAGAGCCGCTCCTTCAGGCTCCCCCCCTTCCCCTTCACCTTCATCTTGTTGGGAGCTTTTCCGGAAAATGCCGACTGCAGCTCGGCCCTCTTTGAGCTCATCTGCTTATACTGGGCCTTCACGTGATACTGGCAGTACTCGCACTCAAACTGAAAACAAACCGAGACGAGCGTCAGCCAATACTAACAACACAAAAAGACACCGACACACACACATAATCAGTACAGCATAGTATCGCGATACTTTGCGTGGCGATATTGTATCTATACACGGACGCCAAGTATCGATATTTTATTATATAAACTATTCATATTGTATCCAAATTAAAGTTTTTGGTAACAATTGCTTATTCAATCCACTAGATCAGGGGTGCCCAATACGTCGATCGCATTGAAAAAAACTAAGAAAAGTATTTATTTTTATTTTTTCAAAGTTATCATCCATCCTTACTATGGCATTTGCCACTTGATTGACGTGCAGGTAAGCCAGTCTGAGTTGTATTGTGCCAGACGGGTTCATGTAGTTATGAGGGGGCCTCACCTCCTCATCTGAAGCGCAAATGCGGCGCAATTAGTGTAAGCGCGCTACAGTTTATCCGCCGTTTAGTCTAGCACGCACCCAGATTGGGCAGGGGCGGCCCTGTAGGTAGATCTTTAAAAGTAGCTCCCAAGCTGAAAAAGTGTGGGCACCCCTGCACTAGATGGTGCTGAGCTTTTTCTGGCCATGGGTAAAGTCAGTGGGATTGGCAGGAAGTTAGTCAAAACAAAGATGCAAATAAATATATATCGCAATATATATCGTATCGCAATAATTATCATATCGTAGAATCGCAATATTATCGTTTTGTGGCTTAAGTATCGCAATAGTATAGTATCGTGGGGAGCCTGGTGATTCCCACCCTTAACACACACATACCAGGTTGACCATCTGAGAGCAGGGGTCTCCGTTCTTCTTCATGGCCTTGCAGGTGCCGTAGTCCTGAGCTTCCCCCAACAGCATCAGCTTCTGAGGGTTGTCCACGGTCAGGCTCACCTGCACATGTTCAACACAAGGGTTCACTCTGTGGACTCAGCTGACAGTTAGGAAGCGTTAAGGCTATGACCAATAGGGCACACTTTGTTATCTACTGTTTGTACATCCTGTCCACTGACACTCACCCCGTCATATCCTTCTTTCTGCTTCAGGGGGTTCGGGTTGAGGAGTCCGATGACAGTGCCCGTCTCCGTCTTCCAGTGCTCTTTGTGGACTTCGCCGAAAAGCAGGAGAGACACGAACACTTCCAGGTTATGGAGGTCGTTCAGTTTCCAGATGCTAAAGGTTTTGCCCTGCAGAGAGAAAGCGCTCAGTCAAAATGGGACACACACACACACACACACACACACACACACACACACACACACACACACACACACACACACACACACACACACACACACACACACACACACACACACACACACACACACACACACACACACAGATGGAGCTTCTACAAAGTGTATAGAAACACACTATTTCTATTTTATTTGTATTTACTTGCACATCTTAGACATTCTCTTGCACAATTGTATCTGTTTGCTTTGACGTACGCTGCTGTTGCTTTGTGGTGTGGCCTTGTTGACCAGCACAGCAAAAGTCACCCAGTCGCTGTCCTCCAGCTTCTCCCGAGCCATTAGCTCCGGCACCTGCGACAGGCGGATCAGACGCCGGTCGGCCATCTTGCGGTCCATCTCGCTGGAGGAAACGCGCGGTCTCCTGAAAACAGAGAGCAGATGTAGCTTTAGATTTTCCACTGCTGACCTTTCCTGTGTCTTCATCACTTCAGTGTCCTCACCTGAGACGCAGTCCTGAGTATTTCTCTACAGCCACATCTTTAGAAAGAGAAAGAAGGGAAGAAGCAGCCGGGGCAGGTCTGCTCCGATTGGCCGGACTGAGGCGCTTGCTGCTGCTGCTCTCTGCTGGCTGGAAGGTGCCGCCGAGCTTTATCTCCACCAGAGGGCCTCGCTCTTCTGTGAAGAAAACACACTTGCATAAAAGTAGCAGTCTTAAATTATGACAGGGCTCAATTCATCTAAGCATTCGTTTTTTTATAAATAAATATATTTCAATTTTTTGTATCAATTAATCCAACCACTTTATTTAATCAATTCAACTAAATGTATATATATTTGTATTAATTTAATATAACCATTATTTTTTTAATAATCTTTACCAATGTTTTTTCCTATCAATTCATCTAGACACTATTTTATCCATCTACTACTTTTTTATAAATATTTGTGAGTTTTTATTTCCTGGTTATTAAAAAAAAAAAAAATCATACAAATATATCTTATTATTTAAATTAAATATTATTCAATAATCTCCCTTCAAAATAAATGAAATAAATAAAAATGAAGCTCGTTAACTGTCAACGAGGGAGCCTCGCTGCGGGGAAGCTGTGTAGCATATTATTTTCGATGACAGATGAACAGATCGCCACTGGGCTTTCCACTAAAGACACAGCCATGCAAAAACTGAGCCATTTGTACAGCTCCTTATGGGTACTGCAATGTGTGAGGTGCGCTACACCCGTGATCGTTTCACCGTGGAGGAAAGCAGCAGAAAGTCGACTGGAGTTAAAGAGGGCGGGGCCTAGAAGTTATCCTTCAGTGTCCGAAAATACAATTGAAATATTTTTGCACACTTATTCCTAGTGTGCCACTGGTTACGGTCCCGCATGCCACCATTGCCACGGGTTGCCGACCGCTACTAGAGGATCGAGTAACCTTTTATTAGCTTCATTTGGTTTTCAGGGGAATCAATGCTTTGATTGGGCGCAGCCATTCTCACCTGGAGATGTGCTGGCTTTGGGATGAGCTACCCTGGGTTTGCGTGTGAAGGAGTCAGCATTTTTTAGCTCATCACAAAAGCCAGAGGACTCCTGGACCTTCTGACCTGCTGCTCTGACTGGCGTGGAGACAGGAGTTGCTGCTGTGAGGAGACAGAACACAGACATTTGTTAACACTAAAGCCATATGCAGTCGTTAGTATCTTTATCAATGAATTCTGTGCAATGTTTGGAAAACAGGATCTAGCTGGAACAACAATCACCTGCTGGTGTCTTGGTCTTCTTGGCTTGGATCGGTTTGGAGGTTATTGGTTTGGAGGTTATTGGTCTGGAGGTTATTGGTTTGGAGGTTATTGGTTTGGAGGTTATTGGTTTGGAGGTTATTGGTTTGGGAGCAGCTGAGCTTCCTGCAGTCTTCACCGGAGTGGAAGAAGGTGTAGAAATCTTCTGACTCGCTTCCAGCTGCTGCTGCAACCGCTGCATCTTCTCCTGCATTTGCCTCAGCTCATCTGAAGAAGCAACACATAGAATAGAATAGAATAGAATTGAAGGATGAAACCCTCTTCCAACCTCAGATCACATTAAAATAACTGTGAACATTCATAAACACACCTCCGCCCCTTAAAGACTGCAACCACTACTATTTAGAAATATTTATGGCTATTTGACATGCATCTCTTGGTTACTATAACCCTTTATGAACACACAGTTCGAAATACACTACATTTATACAATTTTTCTCAAGGAGGTGAACTGGGACCTCTCCAAGTGGTAAACGCAGTGGCACAAACCTTGCAAGTCCTCCTTGGACTTGTCGAGGATGTCTTTTGTTTTAGTGTCTTCTCCTTCATTTTCAATGTCATCCACATCTCCAAAGAGATCCGTCGCCACATCTTGCTTTTCCTCCTCCACGCCATCGTTGTACTCTTCCTCCTCAGCATCGTCTCCGTCAAACAGGCCGTCCAAGTCGTCTGTCTGCTCCGGACCGCCCTGTTCTTCTTCGACCCCCTCGCTCTCAGCCAGCAGCGCCGTCAGAATGTCCAGATCGTCCTCACCTGTTCAGAGAAGACATCAACTGAGTGTTTTCATCTGTTCATAGAGCTGGACTTTAATGTGCTTTAAATAATAAAGCTTTATTTATAGAGCACTTTTCATACAGCACGTGCAGCGCAAAGTGATTTTCAAAATGGCACAAGTTAAAAATAAGATCAGATGTTAAGATGCTAAAAAAAGGTTAAACGACTAAAATGTAAAAAAACAGACAGAAGTTGCTATTGAAACTGTTAAAAAAATAATATAAGATAAAACCCTTTAAGACCTATAAAATAAATATGAAACAATATAAAAGTAGGTAAATAATAAAGACAATTAAAAAAGGGGGGGGTGCTAATAAAAAGCTAATCTAAAGGCCGTCATACTTACTGTCCATTTTAGGAAAGTTGGTGATGGGGCTGATTTCAGATGATCTGGGGACAAAAAAGCAGATATATTATTGTCGAGGAGTGATGGAAAAACTTTAATAACCTCAGAAAATAAACTAGATCTGGTCTGCTTTCTCTTCAGAATAACAAGAATTTTAAATATAATACTTTACACTTAAGTGTTAAACAGCCTAAGATTTGACAAAGAAATGAAGGCGTTAATTCATTTTATAGTGCAATATTTTGCGTTTAAACTTAATATTTTAAGTTTTTATGTTTCATTTCCAGTTGCTTGCAACACATTGTAAAATGAACCAATACTCTTATGCAAGCTGAAAGGTGGATACCAAAAGCTGAATCAAAGGTTTTCTACATAGATGGATTTGTCATTCAATCAGTATTACACTGCATTATACTGTAAATGATAACACAATGATATATTGAGTTAATTAAAGGTTCAGTCAGTGTTGGCTGTTACCCACTGTGTGTTCAGTGACTGCATATACACATTGACTGCATACACACGGTATACAAATGAACAGTTTAAAAAGTGTACACTGCAGGGCATGTTTTAATGTATATTTGAGTTTCACAGCTTGTATCCCTGGGAGAGTCCAAATGAAACAATCGCCTTTTTTCTCTTTCAAATGAATCAGTCCATGTATGTGAGTGTGCTTAAAGATAATGAAACGTACCTCTGGTTCCGCTATTGTGTCCTTTTCTAGCTTTATTGCAACGTTTACAGCTACGTCCAACCTGTCAATACGTTGCTTTGTCACCAAGGAGCACTACGCGTAGTTTTGCAAAAGCAACAGGTTATTTTAGACACGATCACAAGCTAATCTAGTTTTATTGACAAGCTGCAGCCTCCTGCAGCCAGCGAGAGGGAGAAGTCGAAACTGGCGCTAAACTAAGGACCCCTCCGTGTTGTCAAAGCTCCGTCAGCTGCCCAGTGATGTGCCTGAATAGAAAAGTGTATATTTATATATATATATACTTTTTTAACGGTAAGCCGATCATGTTTTACAATGATGTACTTTGTTTTTGTTTGTTGGAAAAATTAGAAAACCGTGTTTTAAATGTATAATTACACTTACAGATTCAGAGTATATCGCTCTTCTACTGTAGAACATTAATATTTTATATTTGCTGTTTATTTTTTTATTTGATTTTAGATTTTATTATGTCTTTTATCCACCTTTTAAATATTTGTATTGGACACACTGCTGCTCCTGTAACACACACACACACACACACACACACACACACACACACACACACACACACGCGCGCACACACACACACACACACACACCTACACCTATCTATCTCAGTAATGGTTTAAGCTTCAAATTATCAATATACAATAACAAGTGTTTTTTTAAATACCTCGTCGGAGTCATAATCCTTCAGATTTGGTTATTTCGCAATATAACGAAAACAGACAGAAATTGGCAGATATTTTTGATTTTATTTCAGAGAATTACAACAGAATCAGAATGTCTCCTATAATCAGCAGGGTATTGATGCCTCCTGCTTAGAGACATACAAAAGCTACCATACACAGTGATAGGCTGATTAACAAATTAAATACATTGCATTTTAATTTACAGGTATCACCCACTGAGTCAAAAATAAAATACCTGGTATATTTTCTTTATAATAAAGTGCCTACATGTTTCGTGCTGTCTTTCCCACCACCACCACCAACAACAACCATTAGCCAAAATGTCCTCTCAAAGGAAACAAAGATTAGGAATTTCAAATACAATACAAAAAAATAGCCTTCTGCAACCAAATACTTGGTTGACTGAATTTATTTTAAGTGTGCATGACGGACAGCTCATTGCTCAAATCATATCAAAGGGTTTGAACTGTTCATCTACAGCTTGGTTCCAGTCAAAAGACAAAAGCAAAAGAAAACCCAGAACAACTCTGTGGGTTAAGAACACACACAACTTTGCAACAAACTTGGTAAGATATTGGTGAATGAGGCCAATGCGAGTCTCAGGGATCTGAGAGGAGGTACAGATAAAGAAGAGGAAGTCTCAGATTATTGTTGTTGAAGCTTGTAATGGTGGTTTTCTAGATGATGCAGTCCATGATGTGGATCTGCAGGGAGTCCAGGTCTGGCAGGACCTCATTGCACTTCGGACAGGCGTGTTCTGGAATATTCCCCTGATGATGCCAGTCAGTTCCTGAGAGTCAGAGACACAGATTATAACCTGAACATGCTGAACGCACAATGTCAATTAGAAAACAGAGGAAAACTGTGATGTTAATTTTGTAGAGTTACATGCTTGTATTGTTTCTAATTTGCCAAGTGTCAACTGTCAACAACCTCCAAGTTACATAAGACTGTAGAATATCCAAGAAATAGTTCCTGCTAGCTGTTTCCTGCTTCCAGTCGTTATGCTAAACCAAGTAAACAGTATAAACTAGGGCTGCTCGATTATGGCAAACATCATAATCTCGATTATTTGGGTCAATAATTGTAATTGCAATTATTAAATGCGATTATTCATTGACTTTGAAAACATCCATCTATTGGAGAATTTCTTTTTTAACAGTATGTTTTTTTACAGTTGATTACCCTGAACTTGAAGTATAATTCAACTGAAAAAAAAAATAAGTAATAATAAAAAAATAATCTTTTTATTTCGATTACGTTGTTTTCGTAATCGTTGCGAGCCATAATCGCGATTAAAATAGGATTAATTGAGCAGCCCTAGTACAAACCCCTACAACTAACTTGGCAAGAGAACACACATTTACCCAAAATGCTGACATTTATTTTACAAAGTGGAAGTATGCCAGGAAGACAATGCTTAGGAAGTATAAACACAGCTGTACCTCTCCCAACCAGAGAGGCTCCGGCTCCGTGTGGACTTCCTCCCATTGACACATGTCTCTGCTGCATCTCGGTCAGCGAGCGCCTGTGGACAAACACAAGGCAAATCATTCGAATTATGTATGATGTGAATGATAAAGTGATTAGCCATGGGATTTATGCTTTGAATATCTAATACGCAAACAAATAAACGATATACTTGTTTATTATCATGCAAGATTTCCCACGTGTCCTTGTTGCCCTCATGAGGCAGTTGTTCCCATTCACTGTTTACAGCTAGTGTTAAAATTGTGTTTGATTCCTCACCGGCCCAGCGACTCCAACTCGTCCTGCAGCTGGTGGTTCTGCTTCTTCACATACTCCAGCTTGGCAGCCAGACACTCCCTCTCCTCGTGGAGTTTCTCCCTTGCTTCCCGCTCTGCGTAGAAGTCCGAGGAGTAGACCTCAGCCTGCACAACAACAGAGCGCTTGATGAAATATCACTAAACGGATAGATGACAGACGCTTGGCCTAACAGCAACTCACCTGAGCCTTGAACACGGAAATGGTCCCCAGCTCCTCCTCCTTCTTGAACATTTCCTGCTTCATCTCATCAATGTGGTTCTGTTTAGCAGCCAGGGCCTCTTCGGCAGCAGCCAGACGTTCCTGCAGCTGCTCCGCCACCTCCTTCGCCACCAGCACAGACTGCAACACCACATTTCACACACTTGAAACTGCAATTGGTCTGCTTTGGTTATCTGTTGCTAAAAGGCTCCTTGTTATGCTTCATAAACTGACCTCTTTCTTCTTCTTCTCCTCTTTGAGTTCATCGTAGTCTTCAAACAGCTTGGTGTAGGCATCCTTCAGAAGGGCCATGTTGTTCCTGTAAGGAAAGGAGGAAGGAAAAAGGGAGGAAGGAAAGAAGAAGAAGGAAGGAAGGGAGAGAGGGAAGAAGGGAAAATTATGGAAGGAAAGAAGGAAGGAAGAAAGGAAGAAGGAGGGAAGGAAGGAAGGGAGAGAGGGAAGTATGGAACAAGAATGGAAGGAAAGAAGGAAGGAAGGAAAGAAGGAAGGAAGGAATGAATGAAAGGAAGAAGGAAAGAAGGAAATAAAGGAAGAAAGGAAGAATGGAAGGAAGAGCGGAAGGGAAGAGGAAGTATAAATATATAATGTTATTACTGCATAGTAAAAAAAAGTTAGGATAAGTGTTCATGTGTATGCACGTGTGAGTAAGTGTGTGTGTGCGTGTGTGTGTGTGTGTGTGTGTGTGTGTGTGTGTGTGTGTCCTCGGACCTCTCCTCTCCAGTCTTCCTCTGCTCCATCAGGTTCTGAGCCTGCATGCTGTCCACCTGCAGCTTCAGCCGCTCGTTGACAGAAAGCACTTCCTGTTTGTCGGCCAGCTGAGCCCTCAGAGTGACAACATCCTTTTCCACCTCCCGACATCTGTACGCAAGAGCCGAGATAAGGCACACGACGAACGGGGTTGGAAGTGTCATTGTTGTTCCTTTACTAAATGTATTACACATTAAGACAGTATGTGTGTGTGTGAGTGTGTGTGTGTGTGTTGGTCTGACCGGTCCTGCAGGTTCTTCTTCATGCCTTCTGCTTCATCGAGCTTGGACTGGGCATGCTGCAGTTCTTTGAACAGCGTCATCATCTGAGACTTCATGTTCTCCACCTCAGATGCTGACTAACACATTTGCACAATGACACACAAACATTACAATAAGGAAACCTAACCTTGCACACACACATCAGTGGACCTCTACCTCTAAATACCTTTTCTTCTTTCCCAGAATCCTGCTCGGGCTCTGCGGGCTCTGCTTGGGTGGTCTGTGTTGATTCATCCACAATAGACTTCCTGTCCTCCAGCTCCTTTATCCTGTCAGATCATATGTCAGAGGAACATGTCGAGATGTGAGAGTCAGATACAAAAAAAGAAATATGTCATTTACTGCAGATTTAGTCAGGTTTACGGGAAAAAGAGCAAGGAACCCCTAAAGGCCTGACTTCCTGTTTCTTGTTAAGTGCTTCAGCTTTCATGATGTACTATAATCAGATTATAACATGGCGTTATAACGTGTTGTGGTGCTGTACCTGGCGGCGGCAGACTGCAGCTGGGTCCTCAGCCCCTCGGCCCGCTGCGTCTCGTCCCTCAGAGACTGCAGCAGCTGGCTGACGGTGGTCTCCTCGCCCTCCAGCCGGGACCCCGTCATGCTCAGCTCCGAGTTTCTGCTGCGCTCCAAACCACACACACTGTTCACGCCGTCCACACCTCCATCCTGAGAAGAGAAACAGCCAGACATTTGGTTTCCAGCCGTGTGTCATTCCATCGAAATAGTAGATAGAAATCTGATTCTTCGCTATCGCATGTTATATTTGCTAACTACTCACGGACACTTTGAAGACCTCGATAAAGGAGTCCTGCGAGTCCTGCTCGGCCTTCAGCTGCAGCTCAGAGTTCATGGCCACCAGGTCGTTCTTCTCTGCCTGCAGGCGAGCAACCTGGGCACGCAGGGCGTCCAGCTCCGCACTGTGATTGGACGACGCAGCCTGGAGACGACATCAAAGAGAAAGAACCAATTTAGCTAGGAACAAAATGAATTTGAATAAATTGAAACAGTTAATAATTAACAAATGACCAGTTACACCCTCACCAGCAGACCACCTCCTGCCCCCCCCTCCTCCTGCTTCATCTTGTTCAGCTCCTGGTTTTGGATTATCAGCGCCTCCATGCGCCCTCGAGCTTCCTCCAGCTTGCACTCCAGGAAGCTCCGTTCCTCCTTCTGCTTCTCCCGCCACGAAGACAGACCCTCAAAACGCTCCTTCATCGTCATGTTGGTCTGCCGCAGGGCCTCTGAGTAAAAGACACACAAGGAGAATTTGAATTATAAGCTTTACAATAGCTATTATAACTCTCCTGAAAGCTGCTTATCACATTAAACTTCCCTGACAGGAACACAACGTCTCCTGCCCTTTGACCCTAGCCACACCTCATTACAGCATTATAGCAGCAGGCCCTAACACACAGCTGGTCTCACCTTTCAGTTCCCGGTTCTCCTGGATGAGCTTGTTCATTTGCGTCAGGGTTTCCTCCTGTGTGCCACACTCCGTGTGAGAGCGAGAGATGTCACCATTCATCACAGGGCCTTCAGACGCCATGATGCTGAGAGCAAAGGGATTCAAGAAGAAACGAGAGCTTGAAAATTGATATAATATTGCTAAAGACACAGTAACAATCAGAGGAAATAGTACAGGTGAACTTTATCTAAACCGTCTTATATCTAATAAACAACAATTCAATGTAAGACCCTCTCACTTCCTCGCTTGTTAATCACTTTGCTTATCTGCACTCATTATGCTTTGTGTTGTAAAGTAAATTCTAAATACTGTAATTAAAGCTGAAGCATATTTTCTGTTTGGAATATTGGAAATATCTGTATGGAGAAAATGATTTATGTCCCACACCATGAGTTACAAGGTGAAGAAATGAAACCATTGACGATATGACATCAGCAGAAAAGCAGCATACATGATCCAATCAGGAAACCACGTGACATCCACTTGATGACTAACAACAATAAAGCTGTATGTTAAACACCCTGTGGTGTACTGCCTTTTTCAACTCATGCGATTACCAATACTTAATAATGCCAATAATAATACTAGTAACAATCATTGCAATCATAATAATAACAATACAGGAAATATCATGGCTCAACTTAAGGTACACTACTGTGAACACAGTGGGAAATATGCTACTTTAAAACTGCCACTGAATACTACACACGTTTCAGATGTAGAAATGGGTATGTATTTGTTTATAAATAGACGGACAGTGTTACTTTCGCTTTCTTCAGGCGGGCCTGTCCGATGGAAACACTGAAAAGTTACAGTAAATTACACAACACGGATGTACTTTAAAGTGCGTCACAGCAACGAAAGACAGGAAGAAGAGTTAGTCTCACCTGCTGAGGACCTGTAGCTGCTGTCAGTCTGATGGTCAGAGTTTCACAGCAACAACAACAACAACAACAGGACAGCCGGACAGTCTGTCAACCTTCAGATGCTGCTGCTTGTGGATCAACGTCGAGAAACAGAGCACTTCCGGTGAGCACTTTCAAAAATAAAAGCAGGTTATATGGTCAACCACTTTCAGAGGTAGACGAATTATTCAACCCTTTTAGATGAGAAACACGTTGGCTAGTAATACCCTATGGTAATACCACAGTGTTCAAGTACAAACAAACTCTGGTGCAAGAAAAATACAAATGTTTGCTTAAGTACATTTACAAAACTATTAGCATCAACATATACATTTTCAAACTTTATATATAGGCTAAGTAACACGTTGTATCCAATGATATGAAAGAACACTTTCTTTTAGCCTAACAATTCTATATTTGGGAAATAACTTTATTCTGCTGTAGTCAATCCAATTATTCAATGATATTCTAATTATTGTATCGAATGTTAGTGTTAATCTACGTTTTGTAATGTAAGGGAAATGTATTCAAGCAGCTCAAATGTATGCTCTTATTGTGAAAGCTAATGTGTTTTACTTCCTGTCCCTATTAAACTAACGAAGGTCTCTACTTCCTTGCAGTGACGTCGCTCATCAGTTGCACGTGAGGGCGGGAAATTCCCCCCGGAGTCACCCTGTAAACAAACCAGGAAACAAACTGAAAACACGAGACTTCCATAATAATTGTAATATATATGATTTGAAAAAACAAATAAAGTTTACTGTAAAATATAAATGAATTGCAAAAATCTCATAAACATAAGCTAAAACAAAGAATGTATTCGCTTTATATGTATGTAATAAATGCATGTTGTTCATGTCAGTGTCCAGTAGATGTCAGTGTTTTATAAACTTACATTCAAAGCTGCAAAGATTCACTCTGTAGTTGGCTGTAGTTACTAGTTTAAAGCAAAGTGCCAACTGGGTGTCACAGATGCACATGAGTGTCAACCATTAGTATCTTTGAAATTATATTTTAAAAGTAGCTTGTATTTCATAACTCTTTAACATTATTGATAAAGGGTTACAGACTGACTGAGAGGAGGTGCTGACAGAGGAGGTGCAGAATAATAGAGGAGGTGCAGACTGACAGAAGAGGAAGAGCAGACTGTCAGAGGAGGTGCATACAGAGGAGGAGCATGCATCGGTAACACAGGAGAAAGTTGGAGTGCAATACGTTTCTGCAAACTGATCTGACCCCTTTAAGGACTCTGGGATAGAGGAGATCTGAGTCTGCAGGTGGTGTTAATGGACCAAATCACTGTGATCGAATTTTTTGTTGTTTTAATTACTTTGTGATTAGTGCTTTTGGATCCATGAAACCATTACATGTCTGGTTCCATTTTTTAACTCAACTTCTGTAACTTGGCTGCTTGGATGGACTGCCCTCCAGCATGAAGTAGACACATTACATTTTATTTCTCAATTGAAGCATCACCACCGGGTTTAGACCAGGCCTGTAACCATTCTGGAGCTCTTCAGAATGTTTCCCATGTCTCTCCTGCTCGCAGCGCTTGGCCTTTTTGTGCATCTGGAAACTTTTACGCACGGCTGCCAGCTCCCCTCCGAGTGGCGGCCGCTGAGCGAGGGCTGCCGGGCTGAGCTGGCGGAGATCATCGTGTACGCCCGGGTCCTGGCGATCCACCGGGAGCCCCTGGGCGGCGGGGCGGGCAGCCTGTACAACTCGCTGCCCTTCGGCTTTGGGGATGGGTACGAGAGCGCGGAGGAAGGGCTGCTGTACTCCGCGGAGGTGGAGATGCTGTGCGATCAGGCCTGGGGCAGCATGCTGGAGGTGCCCTCTGGATCCAGGCTCAACCTTACCGGACTGGGATATTTGTCGTGCCAGTCCCACACCGTGATGGAGAACAACTCCTACTTTTTCTTTCTCAGGTGAGCTGCAAGGCCTGCCTGGACACATTTATCTAAGTAGTTCAAACTGACATGGGGCTTAAACACCAATTCAAATTGTACCTAACAGTTTAGAGTACGTTTTATTGTTGCAATTAAAGTTAAACAGCATCCTATTTGCACTTTGCAAAACAAGCTTGAACAAGCACAACATCTATGCTCTTTGTTACAGTGTATTTCCATTAAGTAAGACTTTAAATATATTTATTATCACTACCATCTATCTGACTGCTCTTGCTACTTATGTCGCAGAAGAACATTTTACAGGCAATGCTAATGTTATGCTCATTAAATATCTTTAGATAGCATTTCTTTCTTTCAGCCATTAAAACAGCTCCTTCTGTACATCCCAGTACTATCTTCTCAGTGTTCCTGTTTATCTCCTCTGCAGGATGGATGAGAACTACAACATCCTCCCCCATGGTGTCAACTTCCAGGACGCCATCTTCCCAGACACATCCGACAACAGACGCATGTTCTCCAGCCTCTTCCAGTTCTCCAACTGCACCCAAGGGAGCCAGCCTTTCCACACCTTCAGCCCTGAGTGGGAAAACCAGGAGGACAGCAGGGTAGGACAACACATTGTTGGTCTGCACGGTTACCATGCTACCAAGAGTACCAAGAGTTGTAACCCTCAGAACTTCCATGCAGCATGATGAGTTTAAAAAAATATATATCTTCTTCAGTCAGGTCAGCTTTTCTGTTGTTTACAGAGGAAGTAAACAAACCTAACACCTTCACTTTACCACTGATATAACAGATTGACAGTCAAAAAGACACACATACACACCTTTTTCAAAACAATAGAGATAGAGGATTACTTTGGTAGTGAAAAGTTGATACAAAATGTAACCCACTGGATAAACCAAGGTTACAAGGTTCTTGTATTTTGTTTGTTAATAATTATTTAGTATTTATTTTGTTATTTTATAGTATATTAGAGTTTAATGGTCAACTTTTAAGAACAAAGCTCATTGGTTCATAACACAATCATGATTGCAGTTGGACTAAAATCCGCCAAGTCCCGCCTCCTCACTGAGGTTAGTGAGGGCACGTTGAAGACATGTGTGAGGGAGCAGCGTCACGCTGGAAGAACGGAGACAGTGGCCGTTTCTCAATCTCGAGGATACTGGCTTCCAAGCCAATATTTCAGGGATGCTATGTCATCGAGTGCCGCCGAAGTACTGTTCCAATGTCCAGCATACTTGAAATTCCACCGAGGCCGCATCCTTGGTTTGGGGGAAATTTCGAGGCTGCACATGGGTAGACTCCGCGGTCTAAAAATCCCCACAATGCTTTGCACACAGACCTATTTCCCCAAATCTGTGGCGGAAAATGTAAGGCGGGGCCTCTCATATGACACACACCTGCACACTTGCTAGCCTGTTCCACTCTTGGTTTTCCGAATGCCAGGAAGTATTCTTGCCTCGCTTCTGAAGCAAGATGCTCGGCAGACATGTACTACCAAGCAAGCGTACTCACAATTGAGAAACACCCACAAGGCTTGCTTGAGACGAGCGGCGGCTCGCCTCGAAAGTAGACGAGAATAGCCGATCGCAGCCGGAGGAGTCTCAAAAAGCTCGCCTGAAGTCGGACAGCTCGGGCCGTTTCTCAATCTCGAGGATGCTGGCTTGGTAGTCGCCTACTTCCAAGTCACTTCCTTCAGAAACGAAGCAAGTATGCTTCCAAGCCACGGCTTCAGAAAACAAAGAAGAATGGAACAGGCCAACAAGTGTGCCACTCTCTCTAACGGTTTCAACATTAACTGTACCGAAAATAAATACCTCACGATGTCTATCTAATTATGAACTTGCTTTACTTTCATGGAACACATTTTTGGTGATAACAAACAAATGTAACAAAGTAACATATTTACCAACACATGTTCTACGCCACTACATACATTTAAATGTGTGCTGCGTCGGTTCAGCTATTCTCCGCAAGGGTTTTTGAAATTAGTCCGTGCGCAAAGCATTGTGGGGATTTTAAGGACGCGAAGTCTACCCATGTGCAGCCTCGAAATTTCCCGTACAGGTACTGAGACGACGAAATGCAGTTTAGCTTCTAACGAGGAGTGCAAAAAGCAGTAAAGTGAAAAGTAATGTACACAATCTACAGATTAAAATATAGAATGAATTGAATGATGAATAAACAGTGAGGGGTATGAATACACTAGATATACACAGCAGCCTGTGAGCAGTATGAACAGTGTGTATGAATATGCTAAGATATATAAAGTATGAAAACGGTAAGCAGTGCAAGTATAGTATACACAATATAGATATTAAGTTCATGATAAACATTGTGGAACAATGATGAAAAATGTGAATGGAACTGGCGATGTAAAACTGACACAAAACAACAACAAACGTTTGCCGAGCCAATTGAAGAGTTTCATCAGCAGCACGGGGTAAAAACCACAAATGAGCGCTCAGCTCGAGATACCAGCGAGTCGTTTCCATAGGTCGTTTCCCAACAAGCATTTAGCTTCCGCAGCCCGCGTCTTTGTCCCGCGAGATTTCAACGTCTCATGTAGGCGAGCCTCCCATGGATTACGGTGTATACATAGAGGCAGATCATGATTATTGCACAGTGGGGATATGGGGAGTTATTTTTGTGTGTTTAATGTCCTAATGGCCCATGGGAAGAAACTGTTTGTGAATCTGGAGGTGCAGGCTTTCAGTGAATGGTAGTGCCGGCCCGAGGGCAGCAGGTCGAACAGATGACGGGCTGGGTGGGATGAGTCCTTCAGGATGGAACTGGTCCTCCTGAGGCAGCGAGAGCTGGTGATGTCTTCCAGGGAGGGCAGAGGGCTGCTAATAATCCTCTGGGCCGTGTTAATGACCCTCTGCAGAGCCTTCATGTCAGCAGCCGATCACCCTGCATACCAAGCAGAGATGCAGTATGTGAGGACGCTCTCAACTGTAGAACGATAGAAGGTCACCAGCAGCTTCTGATTCAGGTGGTTCTTTCTGAGCAGTCTCAGGAAGTACAGTCGCTGCTGGGCCTTCTTTATCACTGCCGTGGTGTTTGTGGACCAGGTAAGCTCCTGGGAGATGTGGACTCCCAGGAATTTAAATGAAGGCACCCTCTCTACACAGTCCCCGTTAATGTAGAGGGGGGCGTGGTCTATGCTGGTTCTCCTACAATCGATAATAATTTCTTTAGTTTTTATTGAGTTTAGCAGTACCGCGCACCACTCAGTCAGTTTCCGGACCTCCTCTCTATAGGCTGTCTCATCACCTCCTGAGACGAGCCCGATGACGGTGGTGTCGTCTGCATATTTAATGATGGTGTTTGAAGGGTAGGTGGGAGAGCCAGTCATGCGTGTATTATAGGCATACCAGGGAGTGGACTTATTTTTACGTTAAGTTTTTATAGTTACATAGTGAAGCCTTTTCTTCCACCATACTCTGTGGATATTCTCTACCTTTGGGGATTATTAGACCATTTCCATGAACCTGTTTCTTTGTTTCATGTGTCTGTATTATCGCATTAACAATGTGTGGTTGTGTGTGTGTGTGTGTGGTTGTGTGGTGTGTGTGTGTGTGTGTTGTGTCGTGTGTGTGTGTGTTGTGTTCAGAGTGTGCGTCTCTCAGGGCTGGATGTGTGTATGTGGCTGTGTTGACTACCTCGGCTCAGTCTCTCTCTAAAGCCCTGGTTGACCCAGCCGGCTCACAGAGCTGCACCTCCACAACGCCCAGCTCTCAGCGGGGTCCACTGATACACACTGGTATGTGTACACACACACACACAACCAACACCACAACACACACACACACACCAACACACACACACACACACACACACACACACACACCACACACACACACACACACACACACACACCTCGCTGAATCACTCAAATAGGCGCTTTCACACTTAGTTCCTCAGACTCTTTAGTTCTGAAGGACTAAGTACGATCGGTTCCACGGAATAAGTCGCCTGGGGGTGGATTAAAGGCCAAATGAAGCCGCTGACGTCACTTTTTCTTCCTCTGCTTTGGGTTTAACTGGCAGGCCG